GGAGTAACTCGGATGAATGACTTGCTGGATTAGTCTAAACCCTAGTTGATTATAATACTTTATTTCTGTGTGGTTTGTGCAGGAGATTATGGCGAGCAAAAAAAAGATAGATAGAAGGTGAAAATGCTAGTGGCGTTTAAAAATAGTTTGCAGAGGCTTTTTAAAAAAAAAAAATATGTGAACAGAGTAGATAGGAGGGGTTATAACGATCTCTCTTTTTTGTTCTGCAGTGTATTAACATTATCTGTATTACATGGTTCTTTTTTGCATTTGACATATGGTTATAGTGAGCATAAAAAAGTTAGCACCATGTTGCAGGATATGTAGGACCTATGAATATACTGTGCAGTCCAAGGGACTGGAATTTCTCATCTGCGGAGTCTCTATTGTAGTCCCTTTTACTAAAAGTACTCCCCTTCTCTGGTTTGTAAGGGGGGAGCTGTAGGTGGATTTATGGTAAAGAGGCTTTGCCCTAACCTTTTTTATTGTTACACTGCCCTAGCCTTGGAAACCCATTGAGTGCAGTTAGTTCCCATAGCTGGAGTTATGTCTTGCCATAAAAAGAAAAGCAACTGTGTGTACTCTTATAGCCCCCAAAGCTATCATGTGTGACATTGCAGACAGCTGCTTGTTGGAAGTCTGAGTGAGGCAGTCCCTAAGTGAAGGATCCTCCAACTTTTTTCACACCAGGGACTTCTTTGGGAATCTCCTGTCCCAAGAAATATTTGCATAAGACCAATGTCCTGATATTTGAGAAGATCCTATTGCTAACAATAGAATAGAAAAATACTTTAAACATCTGAAACCCCCTTCAGACCTATGCACTGTGATAAGGCCTTTTTTTTTACGCACATAATGCTCAACGTGCCATTATTCGTGGTTAACTCTGAAGTTATAACCTGAAAAGGCTTTTAAAGTGTCGCTCATGGACAATTTTATGTACTGAAGTCTGTCACAGTTTCAGGGGGGTGTGCAATTCTATTTATTTGACGCAACCTCATGTTTTTATTGTTTACAAAAAAATTGGGTATTGTGTTTGGGTGCAAAATTTATTTCCCAGTGATGCACTGAGCTCGGAATCAAATCTTGCTCTAAGCAGCTGTGCTAAATTAGTGACAAGACACTACAAATCTTAATTAAAATAATGTATTTAATAAGAATAAAATCACACTTACAATTGTAATAAAAGAAATCACTTTAAAACATGTCCATTGGGGCTCCTTCAGCTTAATCGTGATGCTTGTATGGCCCTGCCCCACTGACATGTTTCATCACTTCTGACTTCTTCTGAGGTGACAGCCGACTTACAATTGTAAGTGAGATTTTCTTCTTATTAAATAAATGATGTGATATGCTGCACGATAGGGAACCTATCTTCTTTCGGAGTACAAACAAAGAGGAGATGAAAAATGGAGGCGTTTCATCTGATGGACACCAGAGGTTGGAAGGAGAGAAAGGAATCTCTTATCTAACCTGTTGGATACCAGAGTGTGGGAAGGAGATAAAGGAGTCTCTTTGAAAAGTGTGGATTGTTCATCTGTAATACGGTGAACAATAGGATTCGGTGAGCGCGGCTAGAGATTTTATGACACGGTGGGAGTTTTGATGCACGGATCACTTCATTACCTGTAAAATACACACATGTGTTTCTATTATAAAAGTTTGAAAGAACATTGCACTTTATTAAGAGGATTGCACAAATTATTATTGCACAACACATGTTACGTTTTAGCACATGCTAGTTATTAAGTATTATATATTGTTTTATAATTGTGATTCATCAATGCAATATACTGTATATGAATAACAAAGGATTTTAGCACAGCGCTGCTTTTAATTAAAACTGCACTAATTTGAATGTTTTTTTTTTTTTTTACAAAAATTTGGAGTTAAAAAAACAGCCGTGCGAAAATTGTGTGACAAAGGAATTCCAAAACGGCTTTGGCAGCAAAAGGGTTAATAATACTGCCACTGATGCTGGGGGTATTGCTGTCTCTGACACCAGTGCTGTAGGTTATTATTGTGTTCATTGACACTAATGATGCTGCTGGTTATTTTTGTGGTTGCAGACAATAACTTGGGGATTTGATTGCATCCACTGACACCAGTGCTGGGGGCTATCATTGCATGCACTGACATGATCTCTGGGGGTTTTGATTGCAGCCATTGACACCAATGATGGGGGTTATTTTACTCCAACTTTGTCTTCAGTGTACATTACGTTACACACAGCCACATTGGTTGCTAGGAAGCAGGCAGGGGCACCATAACAACCAGCGATGTTGTGGGATTGCCAGTGTCCTAGCAACCAGTGGTGCTCTGCACCTTGTCCTCTAAAATTGTCTTTATCACTATCACCAGTCATGGCAATAAAGTAAAAGGTAGTTATGAAACACCTATAGGGTTATTCACAAAAGGGTGAAGAGTTTGGAGAAGACAGGAGAAGTGAACAATCTAGGCCAAAATATCTGATTTGGAAAAATTCCCCAATTCAGCTGACTTTCCAGTTCAGCTATGTTGTCCTAGATTGTTCACTTCTCTTGCCTTCTCCAAACTCTTCACCCTTTTGTGAATAACCCTGTTAATAATCAGGGTTCCATTACATGAACAGATCAGTGGGGGGGCATATAAGAAGTGTGTGTGTGTATGTTTGTGTAAGGTGGGATGGGGGGGTTTCAAAGGAACCTGTCATCTATCACTTTGTCTTGAATGCAAAACTGTTTTTGCTTACCACAACTAAAGCAGTATAAGTGCCCTGGCTTTTAGCATTCTGAACTTTAAATGAGTCTTTTAAATGGACATCAGTAAATGGCTTGCAATGAGAAAAAAGAATCCTGAATCATTGATGGAAATTACACTTTTAAAGAGAATTCTATAAACGGCATTGTGAAGCCAAATATTGTTAGGCTTGAAGTGTGGTTATACATGAAATAAAGTGATTTCTGTCTCTCTGTCTTCATGTGCTAAAAGCACTTTTTCTGTATCATCCTGCAGTTAATCATACATACACTATATCACATTTAATAGCATCCTCCCCTTCTATGTGTAGCTGGTTACCAATTGTTGTATTCTACTGTTGCTATGGCTGGAGGAAGGGAGTCCAGCCCTTGTAGATTCCCTTTTTATCTCTATGCTCTTACAGCTAACGGAATAGAGGCTAATTTCCCTTGGCAGAGCTTCTCCTTTGTTTTTCAATGTTAATTTATGGCATGTTTCATCTTTTTTTATGTCATAAATGCAGAGCTTGATATGACCAGAGGGCAAGCTGAGGGCATAGCTGGACTGTCAATTTAAGTCAGCTAAATACATTCCAGGTGCATCAATACTAAAGATGTGCTAAGTCTTTCAGTTCATTTTCTATAGCAACAGCCATGGCCTGAGTAGAAAAAGCCATCCCATGCGAGTAGGCTGCTGAGATGGACCCTTGCTGTCTGTGTGGAAGCAGTGGTCTCTCTTCAAAGGTCAGATGCGCTACCTGCTAAGTCACAGCTAGAGCAGACCAATCAGCAGGGCTTTGCTGATTGAAGAGCTCTGGCTTTAACAAAGCATGGACATAGTTGTGTAGTTATCCGTTTTTTCCCTTCTGATTTCCCCTCTGATTCATTCTGCTAGGACCCTGCCAGGCATTATGCACTTCCTGTTGTTTAAAAACCGCGTGATTCTTAATATGACAGTGATGGTCTGCAGTTGGTTTGTAATCTTTGCTCTAGTGACAATGCTTTGTAAGATGACTTGTTTAGACTTTCATTTGTACATGCTAGTCTGAAGAACATTGTGTACTGCAATGATCTACTAGTCATTCAGAAACTTTCAACCAGCTATTGTTAGCCCCTTATAGTGGATGTTCACCCTAGAATTACTCTATTAACATTAAACAGCCATAAACAGGTGTACCTTGATAAATGCATATACATACTGTACATAAATACAAGCACATATAGATGTCACTCATGGTGACACTTGGCTCCCTCATGCTATCTTTGTCTTGTAATTGCAACTCCTGACTGGAACACCCTTCTTCTGTGCCCTGATCCTGTCAAAGACGTAGATAGAGTTAGCAGGGCTCAGCAGGATCATGAGTTGACGGACAACCAGAGTGCGGACAGAAGTCAAACATGGTGCTATATATTTATTGAGGTACATGTGTTGTATGGCTGTTCAATGCTCATAGAGTCATTCTACGGTGAACTTTCACTGAGAAGCATTCCTTAGCTTCAGTCATAGGGTGTTAAATAACAATCTTAGAGTGACATTAAAGTCACGTCCCCCCCCAATGCTGATGTAATGACTTACATTAAATGATGCCTCTTGATCTGATCATCTTCTTCTTTCCAGTTGTTTTCAGGAGTCCCTCCAGCACTGGTGCCGGTCTCTGATACAGCGCTGACTGATGTGTCTTCTGTGTCCCATGGTGTCTGTGCGCGTGCACTCTGCTGGGATGCCTGCATTGACTTACTCTGTGTCTCTCCTCTTCTCCCGGGTGAAGATCTATGCTGCGCATATGCCCGCCCCATGGTCCTTCCCGGCCGTCGGAGTATCTTAAGATCTTCAGACGGTAGCGAGCGGCGGAGACACAAGAAAGTTTTTACCTCTTTGGTAACTTTTCTTAAAATTTTTAAATGTTTTTGCATATATCTAATGCTTGCAAGCAGTAGATATATGCAAAAAAAAGTGTTTTAATTGTACTTTAATGAAGTGCTGGCTGTAACTTCAACAAAGAATTTAGCAGGTTGCAAGCTAGTTATTTAAAGCTTGCTGAAAGCTTTGCAGATGCTTACTGTACATATTGTTTTTAAGACAAGTGATTACAAGATAAACCTATGAAAAGTAGTCCTTACAAATAATTACTGTTTAGTGTCTTGCTTCTTATAGTGGCCATAGAACAAAATATGGATTTGGATGTTTTGTTTTGATGGTTGAATTGTTTTTGCATTATTTTCATTCATGTGCTTTTATTGAAAAAGGAAAAATGTATATTTATTCAGATCTATTTTCCACAGATTCTTCCTGGCTTATTCATAGGCAACTTTAAAGGTATGTTCATTTTCTGTTTATATAATTCTTGGTAGCAGTTTGTTTAACCAGTTGACATCCGCGGTGTTAAACCCCCTTCCCATCAAGGCCATTGTTCAGTATTCAGCGCTGCGGTACTTTGACATTTATTCTGTCATGCAGCGCTGTACTGAAATGAATTTTATACCCTTTTTTGGGGACAGATAGAGCTTTCTTTTGGTGGTATTTATTCACCACTGGGGTTTTTATTTTTTTACTATATTAAGGAAAAATCACCGAAATTTAAAAAAAAAACAACAGTTTCCACTATATTAAATGATAAAATATTTATTATTACCCAATTTTTTGGTAAAATATAAAAGACGGGGTCACGTCGGGTAAAAAGACACCTTATGGACCCGCTGATCGCCTATATGTGAAACACCCGGTACCGGGTGTTCGCATTGGACGGGTCTTTTCTGCCTGTGCGTGCCCGCTAGGGGGCGCGCGCAAGCAGAAAAAAATTCCGTCTGGCGACGGCAACCCGCCAATGCGGCAGTGCTGTCCGTCCGTTTTTCTACTACGGGCGGACGGCAAGAGGTTAAAATCTTAACAATGTAGCCTGTATCCCTTAAAGAGACCCTGCACCAGGGCAAAGTGACAATGTCTCCGCAAAAGTCCCTCCTGCTCCCTTATACCTACGTTTTCCTGCACTCCTTGCTACTTCTTCCTCTATTGCAGCCAGCAGTGAAATCTGTGATGTCACTCCCTCCTGTTATGTGGCAATGCTTATGGCGTAGCCATTGGCCGCTAGGCCCAAACACTGTCTCAGGGAAGGAGGTCACATGCTCTATCATACCCAGAAGTGCCAAATTTACCAGATGTGCCAAACATAATGCAGTAGTACAAGGTAATTTAAAGTGACACTAAACTCCAGGAGTTAAATCTTAAAAATGTATTCAAGTACCCTAACTATTAACAAAAATCTATCTTATTTGTGTATCACTCAGCTGTAGATCGTCAAATCATCTCTGAATTTGTGCTGATACTGTCCTTCCTTCTGTAGGATGACGATAAACTCAAATGTGAGATTGTAGTCCATCACAGGAGTGAGCTTGGAGCAGTGGCTACTTTACAACACACACAGGAACCATGGTGAACAAAAGTAGAACCCTCCAGAAGGAAGGACAGTGTCAGTATGAATTCAGAGATGATTTGAGGATCTACAGCCAAGTGATACACACATAAGATAAATTTCTGTTAATAATTGTTATAACTTAGTAACATAGTAGGTAAGGTTGAATAAAGGCAAGCGTCCATCCAGTTCCACGTATGTATGTATGTATGTATGTATGTATGTATGTATGTATGTATGTATGTATGTATGT